CTATTATGATCATCTAGTCTGACCTGCACATTGCAGGCCACAGAGCCTCACCCACCCACAACTGTAATAGGCCCCTAACCTCTGGCTGAGTTACTGAAGTTCTCAAATCATGGTCTGAAGACTTTAAGTTCCCTAGAAGCCACCATTTACTCTAGTTCAGACCAGCAAGTGACCCGTGCCCCATGCTGCAGAGGAAGGCATTGCCTTTGTCTAAAAACACAGGCTAGTCTGGCATGATCTACTTTTTGTAAAACCATGTTGTATTTTATCCCATTACCATTCATCTCTATTTTCTTAACCTAACTTTCTCTTTCAGAATGTGTTCCAAGACCTTGCATACAACTGAAGTCAAACTAACAGGCCTGTAGTTTCTCAGATCACTTCCCCCTTTTTTAAAAATAGGAATTATATTAGAGATTCTCCAGTCATAGAGTACAACCCCTGAGTTTACAGATTCATTACAAATCCTTGCTATTGGGCTTGCAATTTTATGTGCCAGTTCCTTTAATATGCTTGGGTGGAGATTATCTATGACTGGCCTAGAGAAGGAGCATCTGGTCTCCCTGTGGCATAACAAAAAAACGAGGGGACATAGAAAGAAATGGCAAGATGGCAAATTCTAAAGTGATAAGATTTTTTTCCCACATGGAACAGCTTGTGGAACTCATTGCCATTGGCTGGCATTGAGGCCAAGAAATCACAGAGAGCTTGGACATTTATATGGGTAATGAGACTTCTGGATATATAATAGCTAATGCTTAAAAAAAAGCACTAAAAGCAATGGGAATTTGGGGCATAGGCGCTTCAGAAAATCCCACTAGGTCAATGATCCCCAAACTATGGGGCACGGAGGAACATTCAGGGGGCACGCAGTGGGGCCCAGGCCAGTCCCCACAGGAGGCGGGGAGGGATCGCCACCCAGACCCACTCTTCCCCCAGCCCAGCTCCACTCCACTCTGTGCCCCAGCCCAAGCTCCACTCCGGCCCCTGCTGCACCCCCCGTGCTCTCATTCCCTCTCCGCCCCCAGGCCAGCTCTGCTCTAGCTCCAGCTCCTCCCCCATCCCAAGTTCTGCCTCCAGCTCCGCCTTCAGCTCCAGCTCCTCTGCTTAGTGCAATAATGGAGGGGTGTGTGGACAGATTCCATACTGGTAAGGGGGGGAGGATGCGACAGGAAAAGTTTGGGCACCACAGCATTACATTCAGTATCTGATCATTGCCTTTTTTTGCTGCCTTATTGTCTTGTAAACAACTACTACCTAATTTGCTGTCTACTCTCACCCTTAACTCTTTCATTATGACAGCTTCCCAGGGTGCTACCTACCCTGAAGTACCCTGGCAAGTTTAATTAACTTAATGTTTACTCCCTGCTTCTAGATCACCAGTAGAGGTGTTAAATTAAGCTGGTACCAACAGTGATCTCTGAGACATCTCCCCAGAGATCTCCCACGCACCCATGAACCAGCAGGTATCTAACCAACCTAATTATGTGAAGGAGACTCACCTCCAGGTTCTCGCATGGCATCCTACAAGCTACCCATTGCTAGACTGTATTGGTCTTTCTGAAGAAAGTAGCACTTTAAATACCTGTAACATTTCAACTCCTCTTAAACCAAACTCTTTTTCTGTTACTACTTTCCAGCCACTGTCTTCCCAGGTTGACTTGCGTTTGCAGTTCTGTGCCCCAAGTAGAGTCATTTTCTTTTTATTAACTGGCCCAGATTTTCACTGATCCTCATGCAGGGGAGTGAGGAGGTGTAAGGCCCCACCCCACCCGTTGGCAGCCCCTGGGCAGATTGCAGGAACAAGCTTAGGGCCGAGAGCAGGCTCAGTAGTGAAACGGAGGGGGCAGCACGTTGGTTTTGCCCCCCTCACTATGCCAGCATGGCTGGCACAAGGTAAGGAGCAAGTTGCACCCTGCTGTAAACCTGCTCTGGGTCAGTTCCAGGTGCATTGAGAGGGAGGGGGCACAAAGGGCTGGATTCACAAAAGGACTTACGAACCTAACTGCCACTTTAGGTGCCTAAATCCCAGAATCAGGTCCACTGGGATTCACAAAGCCCTTGCTCAGCTGCCGCCGAACCCTGTAGGTACATAAACTCCCTCGGCACCTACATGTTTGCAGTAAAAGTTTGCTCTGGGGCTATTTTTCTGCCCGTGAGCATGCGTGCGACTGCCTCCCTCCATGTTTCCAGATGCCCAAGCCCCAGAGTGAAACACAAACTGAGAGAAATAGGGGCTTCTCGATCTAACTCGCCTGTGAACTGGTGTGCTCAGAGCTCGCCGACCCCCCCATACGTGAACAGACACAAAATAGCTGGGGAAGGATGATGTCCCTTGTAGGTTTTAGCCCTGTGGGGAGGGTACTCTCTGGGATGGGGAAGACCCCTGTTTACCCCCCTCAGCCGTAGGCAGGGCCGGTGCAAGGAAGTTTCATGCCCTAGGCGAAACTTCCACCTTGCGCCCCCCCCCAGCCCTGTGGCAGCTCCCGCCCCCTCCTGCCCTGAGGCACACCCCCCGCGGCAGCTCCCCCTCCCCGGGGAGCCGTGCGGCAGCTCCCCACCCCAACTCACCTCTGCTCCGCCTCCTCCCCAAGCACGCCACCCCCGCTCTAATTCTCCTCCCCTCCCAGGCTTGCGGTGCCAAACAGCTGATTGGTGCCGCAAGCCTGGGAGGCAGGAGAAGTGGAGCAGCGACGGCGTGCTCGGGGAGGGGGCGTAGGAACACTGTAAAAATGCTTTTTGGTGCCCCCAAATCTTGGCGCCCTAGTTTGCCTTAATGGTAGCACCGGCCCTGGCCGTAGGCATCTAATGCCAAGTAAGGATTTTGCAGATGAGAATTCCAAGCAGAGGGAGGTGCCAAACTCCCAGAGAGGATGTTCTCACCTTGGCAACTCCCATTGACTAGCTGAGGCAGGGAGCCACCTCCCATGTTGGCTTTTGTGGATCCCATTCTGAGGCGCCTCTCTCTCCCTTTCCAGTGTACAGGGAGCCCAGGCACTGAACTCAAATGTTGTGAGTCCCAGTGATTGCACATCACCACCCCTAAGTTCCTTGGTGACTCTAGTGATAAGCAATGGTTGGGGGAGATGGGTGAGCAGCAATTGACCGGTTTGTGTGGAAGGGGAGTTTGTGCAGCTCCATGTGATGTTCCTCGCTCGTAAGAAAAGGTCACGATTGTCCTCACTTGAATCTCACCAGTGAGGAACCACACACAAAACCTAGCAGCTATGGGAATTCCTCTACAAGTCACGGGAATATCAATCGCCCCATTTTCCAGCTGCTAATGCAGACAATGATTATTTCCTTATGTTATGAGACATAAACAATGTTTGCTGCCACCGTGTGAGGGTAACTGCCCCTGTATTCCCCCCTCTGTGGCCCATTCCAGGAGTGCCCAGTCAGATCTCAGGTCTCCAGGTGTCACTTGTCTCTGGGCCGGGAGTGTTGCCTCACTCCCTTCTGACTGCACAGCTCCCTGCCTTACCCAAGGATATCCCCAGTCTGCCTAACGGCCAGCGCTTGTGCATGGCTTTCTCTCCGAGGGTTCTGCACAGCAAGTTGCCAGCAGTTACAAGTTACCGCACCGCTCTTTCTAAGCAAGCACGTTTATTCTTAAGGTAAAAATATCACAGAAAAACATAAACTCAATAGAAGTTCCTATACACATGCTAAAAGCTCAGCAGAGGTCACCTCATAGGTCTTTTGGGGCCTTAGTAGGCCAAAGTCCTTCAAACGCTTCCACCAGGGTTGTGGGGGGACCCCTTGGAGAGACTGTCCTGGCTGCTGGTTCAGAAAGAACCTTTCTTCATCTGTTGGTCTCTGAAAAACGATGTTTGGACCAGTATATGCATACCTCCCCAGCATGCGGCCCCTCTTTGGACATGTTGACAGTTTCAGGGACTTGCCTTAATCACCCCCCATTGCTTTTAGCTCCTGGAGGAGTGGTAGGAACCCTCCCCCTTGGCGTTGCAACACTCCCTGGCCCATCACAATAAATAAACCATTCATAGACCTACTACAATATGGTCCTCAAAGATAGTGCATGCAGTTGCAATATTATTTATACTTGCAAGTACAAAGTATTAAGGCCAGTTGGCAGCACAGCTGGGCCTAGAACTCAGATGCTACCAACGCAGGGCGTTAGACCCAGATCTTGGGGGTAGGTGGCATTTGGGAAGGCTCTTTCTCCTCTAGCAGCTTTGTCAAAAATTAAAATTTGAAAATCAGCCAACACTGCTGGGAAATGTTTTCTAGGAACATCTCACCCAGTTCTAATGCTGCTGTTTATCCCCAGGACGTTTTCATCTTCTATTGCCAAGTTTGTGCATCTTCCCCATTGAATGTTCAGGATTCATAAGGGTCAGAACTCAAATAATAGTTGAAATTCATAACATCCATTTCTTATTAATTGTCATCTGAAGTGGTAGCAAAAGCCTGCTCAGCTGTGTACCGATTTAATCTACCATGCTGTATAGGTTTAGCTTTACCTCCCAATTCATATTGGTTATTAATGATGGAAAATTTTTCTTGATCTGTTTTCAGATGAAGAGAGACCCATTTACAACTAGAAACTGAAGCATCTAAGCCTGAGCATAAATTACACCCGATTGCTAGCAGCTGTATTTCATTAACAGGGAACACGCCTAACATTGATTGGGTGGCGTTTCACAAGCTTTACTATTTCTGTTTGCAAGAATCCCTGGTTGGTGCATATTGAGGAAAAGCAGTGGGTTGTGATTAAAAAGGGAATATAGGGGTCATGGATATTAAAACTGAGTCAAGACTGAGATTTAATTTGCCACCTTCCCAGCCAAGGCAGCAATTCTAAATGGCGTGCGTCAGGTCACCTAGAATTCCCAGAATGCCAGAGTTCCTAGGAGAGCTGGAGGTAATGTCTCAAGGCCATAATAGCATTATCAGCAGATTTCTGTAGAAATGATACAATTTGACTTAAAAAGCTGCTGCTTAGATTGAATGGCGATTTCTGTTCGCTCCTGCAGTTGAAGTGAAAATTGAGGTGGTGCTACCAGAGAAAGAGAGGGCCAAGGAAGAGATGTCACCCAATGGGAAAGCCAGTCCACTTGTTTACAAAGTCAATGGGACTGCCCGGCATTACCACCTCGAAGAACATCCCATCACCATCAACCCCTACCAGAATGTGAAGGATGTAGTGGAAGCCTCCGTGTGCCACGTGAAGGACCTTGAGAATGGACAGTAAGTGGTTAACATTTTTAACAGCCTGAAGGATCCCAGAGGGCTTTATACATGCTACCGTATCCTATACCATAACTAAAATGCTGCCACATGGTGCCGGAGCTGAACAGCAAGGCTGCACAAGCCTGTGAAATGTGGCATGTTATGACCCCAATTCATCTAAACACTTGAGCATGTGCTCAACTGTAACTTTGTGCTTAAATTCATCTCCAGTCAGCATGGCATTTAAGCATCGCTTACAGGTACGCATGTATTTAACTGCTTTGCTGAATCAGGGCTTATGTCATGGAAATTGTCGCTTTTTTATCACTAGCTCTTTAGCTTGACTAATCCGAGATGATTGGACCATCTGTGGCCAGTGTAATTTATCTTGGTAATATGGATAGTGTTATCTTCCTCCAGTTTTAATACAATAGAATCTTGTACAAGTGACAACTTGTCTTTAATGTTTTTGGATACTTTAACTTCTTTCATGTTCTGTGCCTGTGGAACTCCTGTTAGGGAGATGGGACACTAATTTCCAATAACAACAAGGAGTCTGGTGGCACCTTAAAGACTAACAGATTTATTTGGGCATAAGCTTTCGTGAGTAAAAACCTCACTTCTTTGGATGCCCAAATAAATCTGTTAGTCTTTAAGGTGCCACCAGACTCCTTGTTGTTTTTGTAGATACAGACTAACACAGCTACCCCCTGATACTAATTTCCAATAGACCTTGTCTAGTATCCTTTAGTTGCTTCTTTAATTATTGTAAGTTTATTTGCAAAGTTCTCGACTTAGCATTTTAACAAACTAGTTTAAGTAAAACACGCATGTGTGGAGTTCATGGAGTAGGCCCCATACCACTTCTACCTTGTCTTGTTTTTCTAGTTGATCTGGTTCCTCATCAATTTGTTCTCTCACAAAGAATGGAATTTTCTGGTGTTTTTGTGCTAATGGAAACACACTTTGCTTGCAGTTTCACAGTCCTGATTTTTAGTGTAACAATGGAATCTGTTAGGATATCAGACAATAGATCACTGGCACATATTGATGAAAACACATATTCATACCAGAATAAAAAATAACTGATTATGTGGCAACCCAGAGAGGGGGAAAGCCAGATATGTTGGAAGAAGCCCAGGGAAATAGCAGCAAGGAGTTGGACTGCCCAGGGACTGTGGCTGCTTGTTATAGGGTCACTGGAATGGAGCCCAGTGTCACGAGTGGGCCTGGGTTCCCCTACCAGCCTCTGGGGAGTGGCAAAAGTTGTTGGAGATGCCAGCCAGACAGCAGGTCTGGAAAGACTGCAAATTCCCCAGAAGGGGAGGACTTTAGTGACCTGGCAGGAGGGAGGAAGCTGCAGACCCAGGAGTGAGCAGGGCAGCAGAGTGAGTCAAGACAGGAGAAGACAACACTGGAGGTAGAGCATAAACTGGCAGAGCTAATCCCCAGGATGGCCAGCAGTAGGTGCTGCAAGCAGTTGAGTGTGCCCCGTGACAATGTCCCTTGACGTCATGTTCCCTTACTTTTGTGGCACCTACAGTCTGGCTTGTAAGTATAAGCCACTTTCGTTTCATCTGGTAGCAAGACCATAGTTTTGGGTCATCTCCCATGAAAGTACTGCCTCCCTCAATCATAAATCTCCCCTTCTTCATCCACAGCTTCATTGCTGCAGCAGAACAAAACCGTCATGGTAGAGACAGCGAGACATTCCAGGCAGAACGCTGAAAATCAGGTCAAGGGCTTGCACAGGATTCTGTTCAATAGGGCCCAGTGCAGAGTGGCATATTGGAATGATGTGTTCTTCCTGGTGACTCTCAGCTGCTGAGTCTGAGGCTGACACAATCTGAACTAACTGGAGCTTCCCCCGGGCATAGGCCTTCATTCCTAGATACAGAGAACTGCAGTAGCCGAGTGCAGGTGCATGGATCGCCGTGGCCCACTCTGAGTGCGACGGGATCAGGTGCAATATTCTGACCAATTGCAAAGGGAAATGGGAGTGCAGGGTCTCATACCTGTGGACGGCAGTGCAGATGCCTTTGGTGGGAGGGGCGAGTTATTCCAGGCGCTAACCCTGTCTCACCAGCCTTGCCTCAGTCTGGTCTAGGTTCAGTTTCAGTCCGCTGCCCTCCAGGCAGTCGCCCGTGTCTGCTCATCACTGAGAAAGTGGAAGATGGGTGCTATTTGCAGTCCATGTGAGGGAACTGTAGAGCTGGGTTTTCACTGCACAGCCTTTGTTGTTTCAGTCCCAATGGTGTCATCTAGATATTGAATAGGACAGCAAGGGACCACTGCATCGGTACACGCAGCCTGAAAGGGCACCAGCACAGCTGGAGTTGGCTGCACCCGGGCAACAGAAGTCAGGGATGTTTTGTGCTCCCACATTCTGGACTTGCATGGCCCAGTAGAAAAGGGGGAATAGTATCTTTATGGATGTGCTTGTGCGGAGGAGGGAGAATGGAGCTGATTGATTTGGGGACGTTCAGTGCTTGGGGACTGCCATGCAATGGAGTTACGAATGACCTGATGATTCACAGTATGGATTCATATGAGGACACGACTGATATGTGGATTGCTGTGCCTAACCATATAGAGGAATAGTGTTTGTTTACTAATTCCTAATTGTTTGTGATCATGTGTTTAGCTTTATTATAGCAAATGCTGATTGTATGGTGAGAGGCAGTGAGAGCAATAAACTTTCTTGATGACATAAAAAGCTCAGTCTATTTAGTTTAACAAAGTAAGGTTAAGGGGTGACTTCATCACGGTTTAAAAGTGCCTGCACAGGGAACAGAAATGTAATAACAAGGGGTTCTTCAGTCTAGCAGAGAAACGTATAACACGATCCAGGGGCTGAAAACTGAAGCTAGACAAATTCAGACTCAAAATAAGGTGCACATTTTTAACAGAGGTGATGCAACCATTGGAACAACTTGCGGATTCTCCATCGCTGAACATTTTAAAATGAAGAGTGGATGGTTTTCTAAGAAGTCTGCTCTAGTTCAAACAGGAGCTATTTCAGGGAAGTCCTATAGTGTGTGTTATGCAGGAGATCAGAAGATAATAATCTATTACTTCTTTGAGAAATAGCCTGGGCTCTTTCCATGAAGGAGTGGGCTGGAAATGTACACACATGTGGGGGCAGAACCAGAGTTGGGTATGGCGTGATTACATTCTGGGTATTGACTCTTTCACCTTCCTCGTTTGCTCAGTTTGTGAGTACAAAGCTATTCTTTCTGTCAGTCCTTTCTGCTCCTCCAGAAGTCGGAGATTAGAACCAAACTGGGCTTATCAGCACCAGTAAAAAACTCTGGAGCCCAAACTCTCCCTCCACGACACCCATGCAAACCCCCAAGCAACTAATGAGAAGGAGTGAGATGGAAAGGAGACAGCCTGATGCTCAGAGCTGAGGAAGTTTTAAAACAACATCTTTTTGCTTAGGAACTGATGTGGGATCAGTGAGACAAAACAAACAGGGAACACACAGGCAGAGGCTGGTTTTCCAATGGCTTTTTTTCAGGACAGAGCTGTATTTTAACTGGCATTTCCTGGCTTGTGAGTGCAAGCTGGGCAGACGTGACAAAACTTAACCCCCCGCCCGCCTTTTTTTTCTTTCAAATATGGAATAAAATCTTAATAGCAATGACTCTAATTGAGTAGATTGCTTTATTCTAACAGCCCTCTGTTGTAACTAGCCATCTTGCTCACTTGCGGAATGAGTGTGTCATTTGAAATCTTTTGCACAAGGTTTCTGTATTTGCTTCAAGACGTCAGGTGCTGATGATTATCTGTCACAGGTCAAGTGGTTCCTTCGGGTGGCTGTAAACCATTTCTCTTATCTTTTCATAACTCTGAAGTTGTCATTTAACAAGAACTGTGGGTTTGCTCTGAAATAAAATCCATGCGAAGAATGCAGCAAGACTTGTTCCTTTTGCGTGTGGTGAAGCATGAGCCTGCATTGATCTCTTTATTCCATTTGGGATGTGCTTACTGCAAGGACTAAACAGGTACGGGGGAGGGAGCAGAGCCGTGCAGCATTCTGCTCAGATAAAACTGCGATATGCCCTTAGCAGTAGCCCATACTGCTGCTTAGGGCCCCATCAGCAAGGTATTTAAGCACATGCCAAAAAGGACTATTCCATTGGGACAATTTTGGGGTCAAGGTAGGCAGGTGCAGAACTGAGGTCTGTCAGGTGCTCTACTCCCCGTGAACCCCAGCAGAGACCTACAGAGCACCGGAGAGGTGGGATTCACAAAGTTATTCAGGCACCTAACTTCCAAAAACAGGTCAGCTAGAATAACTGGGACTTGCAGCATAAAAGGAGGAGGCCCTGGGGGATTCTGCCACTCCTCTGGGAGAGAGCTTGGCAATCAAGGGCACCTGGACCAGAGATCTGCCAGCTGCCTGGTTCAAACTAGACTGAGAGATGAGACGCAGACCCACCCACCCTGGATGGCAGTTATCAGGAGTGGACGCAGATTTAGAACCAATTGCCGAAGTACATTTAGCTCATTAAAGACTTCAATAAAAGGCCTTACCAGAGGGACAGGGCCCATGCTGGGCATCTTAAGGATTGGAGAGTCTGAAGGTTTTGAATATTCCCCTGTGAACCTTTGTCAAGTCTCGCCGTGGCTGTCTGTGGTGTGGGAAGAGGAGGGGCAATCCAGAAGACGGGTAGGTCTCTTAAGAGATGGGGAGATTTGGTTCCTAAGCTGTCCTATAGGATAAGTTATTGTCAGTCTAGCCCTGTTGGCAGCAGAGGCAGTAAGGGTTTCATAGATTGTTAGGGTTTAAGGTCAAAAGAGACCATTGTGTTAATCTTGTCGGAACTGCATAAAACTGACCAGGGGGCTCACCCTGTGATTCCTGCATGGATCTCAGTAACCTGTGGTTGACTTAAAGCAGAACTTGTAGACAGAGATCTAATCTTGAGCTAAAGACCTCTCTCTCCCCGTGTATGCTGCCATTGAGAGCGATGGAAGAGTGCCTTCTGCAGTCCCTGGGTTTACAGGGAGCGATTTGCTAGCAAGTGTTCATTGTAAAGGGCAGGCATTTCAACTTGCTTCCCTCTTAGTCTGCCAAAGCCCAGTTATTCTTCCTGGCATGCCGCCAGGGCCGACGAGGGGGGGGGAAGCTGGTACAAATTACCGGGGCCCAGCGGCCTGGAAGGGGGCCCGGGGCCAGGCTTCCCCGGCTTCCCCCCCCCCATCGGCCCTGTTTAGCTGGTCCGTCCTTGTTGGGGGGCCCAAAAAAATTCTGGGCCCGGCTTTCCCCCCTCTCATCAGCCCTGTTTAGCCAGTCCACCCTTGCTGGGGGGCCCGAAAATTTTTTTCACTGGGGCCTGAACCCGCTCTCGGCAGCCCTGGATGCCGCAAAACCCATCTCTTCTCCCAGGTGTTTGGGGATGAAGCCGATGATGAGACACAGTGTTAAGTGGCTTTTATGTTAATGATTGTACAAGCTATGGCCAGTTCATCTGAAATGATGACACTGTTGGATGTATATTTTGCTACCGGAGGATAATGTGGTGCAGAGCTGCCCACCACAATGGAGGGGAGCTGTTTGGTTATAAATAAAGATTCTTCATTTTTATTTTAATTGCAAAAACCTGAATAAACATCACTGCTGCATCCTAAAACATGCAGTTTGGAAACTCCCTCCTGCAAGTGAGAGCGTTTGCTTTGGCGGCATCACTAAATATGTTCCCCGTGATCCTGAGGGCACACTGACAGGCCACAGCTTGGCTCCACAAAAAGGGCAACAGCTCACCATACCCGGGAGATTGAGACGAGAGATCTTTGCACCGAAACTCCCAGGAGAGCAGCATTCCGTGTGTAAATGCACTAGTCAGGAATGGAATACCTGCTGCCAATCCGCCCGTTCCTTAGCCAGCATAATGCGTGCAGCCCCATGGAAGCCAGCAAGGCCAGATCCTCTGCCGGTGTAAAGCAACTGGATCTCATAGTACCGATGGGATCAGACCCCGTGCTGGTGTCAGTCAGCTCAACATTGACCCAGAGTCGTGTTGGATTCTCCTTCACCGGCAACTTTTCAATCAAGATTGGATGTTTTTCTGAAACGTATGCTCTAGTTCAAAGGAATTATTTTAGGGAAGTTCTCTGAGCTGTGTACTACAGGAGGTCTTCTGGCCTTGGAATCGATGAACCTCACTGAAAGGGGATTTAGTCTTACTGGCTTCAGTGTAATCAGCACAGTCCCATTGAAGTCAATGGGTTCAAAATGCCAAATGGTGTAAATTGGCCATTGAATTTAATGAAGCTACATCAGTTTATGCCCCCTGAGAACTGGCCCATTTTTTAAAATCAAAAGTGCACATTTAATTGAGGTCACCAGTACCAAAAATGAAACAGATCCATTCCAGATGTTACTGCTACCATAAGTCCATTCAAATGAGAAAGGGAAGATGGGAGGAATTTATCACAGGAGCTTTCTAGAGCCCTCGTTTGATCAGGAGTCCGTCTAAGCTGCGCTGATGGCCGTACTGACGATCTGTGTCCCCCAGCAATTCAAATCAAGCCAACTGTGTGAAAAATATTGACCTAAGATCTAACACAGATGCTGAATACATTGTTATGCACTTGATTCAATGTTTGACGTGTGGGGGGGATCATGCAGTGTTGATGCATGGTTGGCAAAGCTGTCCTAGTGGCCAGCACAGCAGTGACTGGATCTGCAATGCTGTTTGTAACAGCTACAGAAAGAGTTAGATAATGTCGCCATATGGCCTGAGTTGGAATCCAGTGTCCTCTCCTGCTTCAGCCTTTCAGAAAACCTGTAGATAAGATTGTAAATAGCTATTCTTAGCTTAGTTCAGTTAGTCTTAGTGTAATTAGCGTAGTTTGTTTTCCTGGACTGGGGATTCCCTCCCCGTAGTCGGGGACCACGCCTAGACTCTGAGCTTCAAAAACAGTGTTTCCTGCCCTAAATCCTTCTGTGTCAGCAACAACACCAACGCTGCCTCTACTGTCTGGGGGAGACGCACGTCTTGGGGAAGTGCAGCATTTGTTGCTCGTTTCTACCAAGAACTCTAGGGGAGGGGTTCTGACCTAAAATGTTTGGTCCGTAATCTTGATGGAAGCATTCGGTGAGACGTTTTGCGTAGGCACTAGAAAGTATTTTATATTTATTTTTCTTGTAACCATTTCTGACTCTTATGCCTCATGACTTGCACTCACTTGAAATGTATCTCTTTATAGTTAATAAACTTGTTTTATTGTTTAAGCGGAAGTGACAGGGTAACTCTATTTATGGAAGTGAGTTGGTATATTATTCCCTTAAAGGAATAACAGACTTAATATATTTGTACTGTCCAGGAGAGGACAGGACAGTACAGGACATACATTTCTGGGGACAATCCAGGACTGGGAGTGTGTTGGGGTCACTCCTCAGTATGACCCAGGCTGGCGAGAGCCAGGGTGTGACTGGCAGTCTGCGGTTACACAAACGCATCTGGGAGCGACCTGCATGCTGGTGGCTGTTCGTGAGCAGTCCAGGTTGGAGGCTACAGCAGCAAGGCATTGCAAAGCACACCAGGTCACAGGGCAGGGGTGACACAGCCCACACTGGTTTGGACTGTACTGTTTTTGTGAAATACTGTAAAGGAGGCTTGACATACCAAAGTGTTCCTTCTCCTTCACTCTAAATTTCTACCCAAGGTCGTCTCCAAATTCTACCTTCCCCAGTGTATTTCCTTACCTGTCCTTTTTCTGAAACCCCATGCTTCACATGAAGAGAAGAGACTTCATTCCCTCAACATCAGGTGTGCACTGGCTTTGACCTGCAAAGAACCAAGTCCATCAAAGTCTCCAAGACTTTGTTGTGATAGCAGAGAGATCCCGTGATCAGGCTATATCCTTTCAGAGGATTTCTAAGTGGGTTTCTGGCTGCATTATCGAATGCTGCAGACTAGCTCGCATCCCACCTCAGAGCAATATAATGGTCCACTCCACGGGGCTGCAGGCCCCTACAGTAGCATCCCTGGAGGAGGTCCCAATGCAGGATATATGCAGAGCAGACACCCGGAGCTCCATATACGTGTTTGCGAGACATTATACATGAGTCCAAGCCAATGCTGTGGATGCAGCAGTGGGATCTGCAGTACTGCACACATCTTTGTTGCCAGCTTCCAGGCACCCATCTCCAATCTGAATATTGTTTGTCAGTCTCCCATGTGTGGAATACGCACGGGAACCAGCTCTCAAAGAAGAAGTGGAGGTTACTTACTGTCACTGGCGGTTCCTTGAGATGTGTGGTCCCTATCTGCATTCCGCTACCCGCCCTCCATCCCCTCTGCTGCAAATCTGATTCGATGCCTGGTAAGGAGAGGAACTGAGTGGGCATCAACCTGCCCTGCTTCTTATATCCTTGCTCGAGAGCACGAGGCGATCTACTGCGCATGTGCACGCCCAGGGACACAGCTTATTAAAATCTCCGCACTCAGGCCCATGGTGCACATGCGTACTCCACAGGCATACGCAGCATACACGGCTGCGTAGGGCACCTGGAAATTTGGGGCACCCCTGGGTCTTAGTGTCCACCCCTCCCCTCTTCCTATCCCTGTTCTGACCCTTCCTGCAGGCTCACACCACAGCTGGCTGCTGCAGCCTGGTGAGTCTGTCTCCAGAGGGGATCTAGTACTTAAAAGTGAAAAAGCCTCCGGCCTGCCAGCCCTATTAGCACAACACTGAAACTGTTCAAGAGCCGTTCAAGGGGTAACGAGGCCATTTAACAGGCATTCGCCAACCCCCAGGCATACAAAACCAGTTGTGCATCACTGTCATATTTCCTCAGACCATGCCAGGGCCTTAGTTTAAAATTTGCTTTAAAAATATGCATCCGAAGAAGTGAGCTGTAGCCCACGAAAGCTTATGCTCTAATAAATTTGTTAGTCTCTAAGGTGCCACAAGTACTCCTGTTCTTTTTGCGGATACAGACTAACACGGCTGCTACTCTGAAACCTTTAAAAATATGTCATTAGTGTGTTGCTGAAGATTATACAATCACATCTCTAAGAAATCCTTGCATAGGTTTTTAGCTGCACAATCTGAGTATTCATCTTTAGCTTTAAATGCTTGGCTGTTCAGACAAAGAGTTTTTTAAATAAATCCTTCAAAAAAAACCCCTTATCTAAAACACACATGCGAGCCCGGGCTGCCGTCGGGCACCAGTTTAATAATACTGCATAGGGCCCCATAAATCCTAAGGATGGCCCTGTGCGTACCCGTGGGCGGAGTACAGCTAGCGGCCACACCTCCAGTTACAGTCCGTAACTGTGCTTATAGCTAAAAAGAAACCACGAGCTACTGTGAAAGCTTGGGACTGGCTCTCTGACATGTGACAGCCCGAGCAGATCAAAAGGCAGTGATAATAAATAATCGTAACAATAATAAATATCTATTCTGTATACTACATCTGTCATGCTTTTTACCTCCAGGATGCGAGAAGTAGACCTGGGCTGTGGGAAGGCTCTGCTGATAAAGGAAAATGGAGACTACTATGCAATGGGACACAAATGCCCTCACTACGGAGCCCCACTGGTGAAAGGTTAGTCTTGGTGCAAGGGTATGGACATGAATCAGACATTCACAACAGATGATGGAGCTGCATGAAGAATCGGAGCCATTTGGTATCATTCACCACATTGCAGAATGTTCAGGTCTGTAGAAAGCAACAGAGGGTCCTGTGGCACCTTTAAGACTAACAGTCTTAAAGGTGCCACAGGACCCTCTGTTGCTTTTTACAGATTCAGACTAACACGGCTACCCCTCTGATACAGGTCTGTAGAGACGTCCTGCCTGTGAGGTAACATACACTTATAATCCAGGAAAGGGATCAAAATCCTCGGCCGAGCACTCTGCCCATGTTTGGTTTGCTAACAGATCTCGTGTAGCCTGTGCAGTGTATCTCAGAGTGAAATCTCTTAAAATGCTGTTTGAAGAATAGAAAGGGGATCTTTCTGCCAGTCTGAGCTGGCCGCAACAAGGGCCAGGTTCAGTATCTAGGGGTTCCTTTTCAACAATAGATCGTGAAACCGGCTTGAGCCCACCACCCCTGGGTGCCTCTGAGAGGCATTATTTTTTATTTATATTGTTATTAATACTTCCCCTCTCGCAAGCACGGAGTCTGAGTGAAGCAAAGAAACTTTTAATAAAAGGAGGGACGTAACCCAGCATTAAATTGGGAAAACACCACAAACAGGTTCATAAACATAAACCATGAGCAAAAGACCCACCCCCAAGTAAGTTGGACAGTGTCCTTTTCCCCTCAGGTTCTTAAGTCCAGCAACCAAAAGTCCCCTTAACGTGCCCATCCCTTTTCTGCAGCCCACTCACAGTTGTTATCCTTGATCAGGGAAGACCCAGGATTGAGAGGTGCATCTGCAGATTTCACCTCCCACCCTGGGGCGGTGGGGGAGTAAGAAGGCACCTTACTCGCTCCACTGCCCAGCGGATTGGCGCTCCACTCCTCTCCACCGGCTGCCCTGCTGGCCGATCGCCACGCCTCTCCGCCAGGCTCCGCTCACCGCCCTGCTGGCCGATCGCCGTGCCTCTCCACTGGCTACCCTGCCAGCCGATCATCGATCCGCTGGGATGTCTTCAGGTCTCACCTCTTAACACAGGGGCCTGAGACTTTCACCCAGTGATTCCGGCAGCGGAGGGGAACTATTCTTCTCTATGACAGAGCATTTAGAAATTCCATCCTCTATGCGGATGGCTCTGCTGTGGTCCTGCTTCTTACCTGGAAGCCATAGCTCCACACACACACACACACACACACACACACACACACACACACACACACACACACACACACACACACACACACACACACACACACACACACACACACACACACACACAGAGTCTGGTTCTGCACATAACCAGCCACACCACATAAACATTCTTACCTCAAAAACAGTAAGAGCTGGTCTACATGCCATTTTTTCAGCAAATGTAACTATTCCAGGTGAAATTGGTGCAGCCCCTAGTGTGGATACGGTTCTCTTGTTACAAAGGAGCTTATACGGTTATAGCCTAGTGCTGTATGTTTACCTGGGAGAGCTGGCTTTGGTCCCGAGACACCAGACTTTCAGCTCTGCTCCAGCTCCTTTGCAGGAGACCGCTGTTAACTAGCATCAGGGGCTGAACCAACCACTGCCATCCCTGCAATAGGGGAGCACAAGGGTCTATATAACAACCTTTTCACCCCCCAACTCGGGTCCCGTGCTGTGCACTGGACTGCACAATTTAAAATCCAGTGAGCCCTGTCACAGTTCCTAGGCTAGCTGCACCTCTGATCCCTCCTGGTCTCTTCAAGGCACCCCTTTCTCAGGCCTCGAGCCATCACCTCTCTGGATGGACTCACACAGTTATCCCACTCTCAAACCAGGCCTTGGACTGCATCCCCCTGCGATCAACCCTGATCTTCAGCACCTGCAGTTCCATCCTCTCCAGGATCAATGACAGAGGCTAATCCAGTGGCCTCCAGATCTGTGAATATATGTTGACATGCTTCTGCACTGTCACTGAGCCAGCATGAAGGGGGCCAACACCTGATCACTGGCCATCAGGAACGTTGCCAGGATGTTGCTGCACTAAGATCTCACCGGGATTGCTAGGAAATGGTAGGGAAGGGTCTATGGTGAAGTGTGACTCGCTCCTGTCATGCCTTTTGCAGGGGTTTTATCCAAAGGAAGAGTGCGCTGTCCCTGGCATGGGGCTTGTTTCAGCATTGGCACTGGTGATATAGAGGACTTTCCTGGCTTGGACAGCTTACCCAAATTCCAGGTGAGATCTTTCAATCTGTAGAGAAAGAAATGACCATCAAGGGAGGAGGGGGCGGGGGAAGTGTTTTCCTTTCAGAGTGTAGAGCTGGGGTCTCCCAAGGGCAGGGGTGGTGGTGACTTCATGTGTCCCCACTCACTGCTCCCTCCACCTGACCCCCATGATTCCAGCTGACCCCTTTGCCCTGCACCCATCTGCAGGTGCCAGCCAGCTCCTGGGAAACTGAGCCTCCAGGGTAAGGAAAAAGGAGAGAGAAAGGGAGGGGGCACATACATGGGAAGGGCTCGTTACACAACGGCTGCTGCTGGTGAAGGGTGGTGGGGCAGGCAAAGAAGGAGGGGAGAAGGGCATCCAGGTGCCCCCCAGGACACAGTAGGGCTGAGAAGTCACTTAGGCATGGGGGATAAGGACCCAGACAAACAGAGATGGTCACTCCGCTAAAGATCCCAGAAAGTCCCAGCCCCCTGGATGTAGGAGAGCTCCCCAGCTCTTACATGGGCCATGCAGAGAGTCCAGCGAGTGGGCAGTGTGGCTGAGTGGACAGAACCTGTTTTGCATTGACCTATGTTTAGTTCAGCAGTTAGCACAGAACCCTCCCTTTAAACCCAGAGACGCTAACTGCTCAACAAACTGCTGCTGTCTTCTCACCCCAGGTGAAAATCGAGAAGGAGAAGGTGTACATCCGAGCGAGCAAACAGGTGAGGGGGAGAGACTCCATTGGCATCCAACCACAGGGACTGGGAACAGCAGCTTGCGGGAGGCAAGGGTGATTTGATCCTTTGGCCCTCTGGTTAGGTAAACAAATGTCCAAACAGGAAATAAATAGCCCTTCCACACTCCGGGGTCCACGTTACCGAGGTTATCTGCTGCCCCCTAGGGAGTACCACAAGGAATGCTCTAGGGTTGCTTTTAGAGACTGCTCAGATATGCAAGAAAAATGATTAAAGGTCTAGAAAACATGAGCTATGAGGGAAGATTATAAAAATTGGGGTTGTTTAGTCTGGGGAAGAGAAGACTGAGAGGGGACACGATAACAGTTTTCAAGTACATGAAAGGTTGTTACAAGGAGGAAGGAGAAAAATTGTTCTCTTCTGAAGCTAGGGCAAGAAGCAATGGGCTTAAATTGCAGCAAGGCGGTTTAGGTTGGACATTAGGAAAAACTTCCCGTCAGGGTGGTTAAGCGCTGGAATAAATTGCCTAGGGAGGTTGAGGAATCTCTATAATTGGAGATTTTTAAGAGCAGGTTAGATGAACATCTGTCAGGGATGGCCTAGATAATGCTTAGTCCTGCCTTGAGTGAGGGGGACTGGACTAGAAGACCTCTTGAGGTCCCTTCCAGTCTTATGATTCTATGCACAGTCTATCTATTCGGAGCCACGTTCTGATATCCACCCATATACATGTAAGGAGCTCCAGTGACTCAAAGATTTGGCCCAAAGTGGTCACTAATATCAGTTGTGGCTGCCAGCATGTGGACAGATGATTTGCTATGCAGTGTCCCATCTACCCAGGTTACACATGTGAATGTTGGGGTTTGATGAAAAGGGATCACACCTTCCCATCCCTGCCATCCTGTGCTGAGCTCTCCATTTGGCAATGTGGGGCTCCGTACACGGGGTGGTAGAAGTTACACTGAACTTTGCTTTGCTAGGACTTGCTGATGTATAGTTGTAAGGCTAAAGAACATTTAACCAGCACTGCCACAGCTTTGTTTGGTACCCAAACTTTCTGACGTGGATGAATTTGTGGCTGGTGGTGGATTTATTCTTCAACTGCCTTCTGGAAGTGGCATAGTGACATGTCTGGTGGACAGGTTTGATAGTCCCATAGTGCTTTTGTTGGGTGTGGGTTTGGAATCCTCTTCAGGCAATAAGAGGGAAGCTTTCATCCAAGCCGCTTTACAAAATAACTCATAGCTGTTCCCATTTGTACCTGGCAAAGGTAAAGCTTTGAACCGTTAATGACAATCATCTCCTTAATTGCTACGCAGGCTCTTCTGACGCAAAGAAGGACAAAGGTTATGGCAAAATGTATCTCCCTCAGCAACTACAATATCAGTAGCACCAACGTGCTGATCATCGGAGCAGGTATAGAGATGTGCCTGCTGGCAGCAGCAGACCTCTGTCATTACAGTGGAGGATATAAAGAGAATAGTAAATAGTATATGTTAACTGATGTACACCCTTCATCTTCTTGGCCAGTCTGTAGATACATCCATCCCACTCCCAGTCTGGGTCCATAACTGTCCATTCTCCTAATGTGTATAGACCCACACACCAGATCCAGCAATACAGAACTATTAACTAAGATCAAGATCTGAGTATGCCACTACGCTAACCATTGGCCTGGGCTATGCAGCAAGTCAGACTAGATGAAAATCTATGACTCTATGTACAATGTCCCCATGCATCTAATTTATAGACATTTGCTCCCAAACTTTGTGGAAGCCCTTCCCCAACCTCCCACACTGGGTAAATAACTACTGCTCCCACTGCAAGTTTCTCAGGGTATTTCTTCACTGCACAGTTAGCCCAGTAAGTTATGTTCCTGGTCTGTATTGAGACCATACCCACCCTAGATCCAGAGCAATAGAGGGACATGGGGAGGTCCTGTGTATAAGTAACCCCTAACTCCTGCACCTGATATGTTTTAATTATCCCACTCTGTGAATACAGTCATTTCCTCCTAAACTGTCACCAGACTCCCAGGCAGCTCTCTGTCTAATCACCATCCGAACTACCAGTTCCTTAGGCCTTGTCTACACTACGGGAGGAGTTCGATCTAAGTTACGCAACTTCAGCTACATGAATAACGTAGCTGAAGTCGACATACTTAGATCTATTTACCGCAGGGTCCACACTACACGACATCAATGGGAGATGCTCTCCTGTCGACTCCCCTTGCACTTCTCGTTTAGGTGGAGTACAGGAGTCGGTGGGAGAGCGATCAGCAGTTGATTTAGACCTGCTAAATCAACCGTCAATGCATCAATTGCTATGCCTTGGTAAGTGTAGACAAGGCCTTAGACACTCCCCCCCACCATGCTCCTTCTGGCCCTGCTGGCCTGTCCTCCCCAATCTCTCTCCCAGCTGGTGTGTATTAAGTTTGGAATTACAGCTTTGTCTACAGTAAGAAAATTTTGCAAAACTTCCACCATTGCTCTGTCACCAGTTCAACTGCATTGGTTTCCACAACCTAGTTTTTCCAAAAGATCTGCTCTAGTTCAAACAGGAATTAATTCAGGGAGGTCCAACTAGATGACCACAGTGCTACTGTCTGTCCTTGGACTCTATGGCTCTAGCGCAGATGGGTTACTGGCTGCAGTACTTACTTTAAGCACTGGGTCTTATACGCAGCTCAGAGTATGTTTAACCAGTTCAGTGCTTAAAACAGCCCCTTGACACTAGTGCTCTCAGTATAATTAGCACCAGCCAAGCTGAAATGATGATAGCAACAATGAGATCATTTTACAGAGTTTCCCTAGTGTAGACATGCTTTAGTTCCAAACTTACCAGAGACAAATTGGAGGAGGGGTGGGAGTAGGAGGGGCCAGTTGCATTTGTGTTGGTACTTTGTGCTTTTCTTAAAATGTTTTTCGTGGATGGAACAAAACTTTACAGAATAGAAGACTCCACCAGTCTGTAGGCAGCAACAAACTTCCCTGCTGTTGCTTTTCTACAGAGGACAGGGAGACATGGTGGACGCTGCCTTTCCAATGATGGTTAGCATGGACTAGTCATTGCTTGCAAAGACACCATTATTGCAGGCTCAGTCGCAGAAGAGCCCCAAGTCTGAGAAATTTCTACTCATTTTTCAAAGCTGCAAGTATACACCTAGAGCTGGTTCAGTACTGTTTGGCCAAGACATTGTTCAGCACATGTTGTCATGGCACGACTAATAGAACAAGGACCTTTTGTGGTATTTGATTATCTCTGGAGTTAGTCAAATCCTAGGCCGGATTTCACGGTTTACTCAGATCATGCTTAGCGAAGTAGAGCAGGGCTATCAGGGAGTGAGCTGTTGATTCGCCGCTTGGCCCCTGGCCCCGGTGCAGATTACAGCCTGGGGCTGTTCTTGCTTATGCCAGATGTCTGTAGTCCCTCAGGTGCCATATGCCGTGGGGGAAAGCCAAAGCACACCATGCTCCACCACTCCTTGTCCTCTTGCTCCGTGCTGTGAGAAGAGCTGTTTAGGACCCAGCTATGCCTGCTCTTCTCCTGTTGCATTTCCCACTCCCTTTGTGCCAGTGCGCTTTGCTGGATACAAGCCAAATTCTGACACTCCTGCCTCTTGGTTTCAAGGGGACTGGTCCTGGAGCAAGGCACAGCTACCCATGGGAATGGACATCAGAATCCGGACCCAAGTTACTCATCAGATAATGACGATTTAATCAAAGAACGTGTTTGATTAATGGCTTTTCCAGATTTCAGCCAGCTCATTTTCCAGCCCTCCGAATGCTCCAGTTCCAGCCAGAAGGCAGGGGGTTCACACCCTAACAAGGGAGGCCGAAGCTCTGGGGACAGAGTAGAACCTGCTACCCAATGGAGCACTTCGGAATCCACTCCCGTTAGCGGAATAGCGCTAGGCTTCCTTTTTATTTATTTATTCATAAAAGCAAAAGAAATGAAGGGCTAGATTCACAAAAAAAAGGTGGGAGAGATTATGGAGCCTCTACTGGACGGATGCTAAACTTTTCATTTGTTAAATAAAATACATATGTAGCAATTACTGGCCTTCTGTCTCTTAGGTGCTGCTGGATTAGTTTGTGCAGAGACCTTAAGACAGGAAGGTTTCTCCGACAGAATCGTTATGTGCACAATGGACAGACACTTACCCTATGACCGACCCAAGCTAAGTAAGGTTTGTATCATCCAGAATGTTTCATATTCTTACCGAACAGCTACTGGGCTCCCCTCTCAGAGTGTTTCTCTCACTGGACAGTGGGTGTCCCAGGTCACTAGAAACTTTGCCAGCTCGTCCTTTTATTGCACTGAGGCACTGTCGATAAACTTAATTCCAGGGACTTCTGGAGCTTGTCACCCTTTTAGTGTGTGTTTTCGGAGGCAAACCCGTGAACCCTCCTCTTGCCTCGTATAACATCATCTAAGGCCAAGTATCGGAGGGG